TGATTTCTTGAAAACTGAGCAGAGCTGCATGGTAACTCCCAAATCATTCCTGATTTGCTGTCTTGCAAAGTTAATGCATTTATTTTGGGATAGTCGTTTAAATTTAACAAAAAACTAAAAGAATAAAAAAAATTGGTTGATTTGTGGGCAATTCTTGAGAGTTGGAAACTATCGAAAACGCTGATTCTGTCGAAAGATTGACACCTCTGAACTTCGAAGTAAAAGCGTAACACTGTATTTCTGAGCTAAAAATTGAAATTGGAACTATTGGAAATTTCATATATGAAAATATGAAATTAGGGGAATTGAAGAATTGGGCGTCGAGTTACAGTCGAAAAGCCGAGTCTCCATAACAGTGCGCCACTCTGTACGTTGGTTACACCAGATCATTGGAAAACAACCCACCGGCATCACCACCAAATGAACTGTCGGATAGAATAGATCAAAAACTGCAAATGATAACATCGAATATCGATAGTTGCCAATTTCTTTCTGACTGTGAAAGAGAATGAAATAGATGAGGATTCCATTCATCAAATAGGCCAAGATGCTGTTAATACAGATGGTGACTTTTTCAAATAGCACTGGATTTACCATTTCAATGAGAAGTGTTGATAAGTTGAGCTTATTTTATAGAGATACAGATTTACCCAAGGCCTCGATAATCAGAATCAAATTTAAAGGAACATATTCAGCTCAATGATCTGGTGAATGACGATTTTCTCCTAAAACCAACCAAATCACAGCTATTTTTTCATCTTACAAAAGTTAAGCTGATCAAAGATTATCCATGTTCAGTGTTTTCCGTACAATTTTTTCCCCAAAATGGAATCTGTCCGCAAATGCATTTTACTTCTATGTCGCTACCTCTTTTGTACGCTACCCTAGTTCTTTATTCTGTGCTTTTAGGTACAGGCGAATTAGTAAAAGAATTTAGTAAAAAAATTAGTAAAAGAATTTAGTAAAAGAATTTTGGTAAAAGAATTAGTAAAAGAATTTTGGTAAAAAATTAAGTGAGTGAGTGAGTACAACCAAGTCTCAAACAACTAAGACTATTGGAGCCTTAGTTTGGAGTCAACAGTGCCATCAATTTATCCCGGATTCAAAATCCTCAACCTTTGCTTGGAAAGTGTTATTTCAAATAACGGTTCTGATTTGAGTCTTCGAAACCATTGGCTATTGTGCAAACAATAGCGGTATTTCATTTAAAATTCAATATTTTGTCCATTTGCGGTATTTGGTTCAAAAAACGAGCTTCAATGGTTATTTGACCAGCCGCTGAAGTTCTTTATAAGGAACAGAAAACTTGAAAATCTCATTTTTCTGAGATTTTTCTGAAAAGGAGATGCTCAGAACACTTTGCATTGGTGCTTTTTTTGCATTGTACATGGTGACCGCTCATAATGTTGTTGTCAGTTGTCCGCCGGGTTGGCTTCTAGATGTCAGGTTTAAGAGCTGTTATAAGGTAAGTTCTAATAAAATTGTTTTGATAATAGACTAACAAGTATAGGTGATCATTGGTGGATTTACCTTTACACAAGGTGTCTCTAAATGCAAGGAAATCAACGGAACGCTCGCCTCGATTCACTCTTACGAAGAAGACATGTTGATTAATGGTCAGATTTTTACGTTATCTCAAAAGCTCATCTTGTGCAATCACTTTAACGTTTTTATAAGGTGCTAGCAAAAGTGCCAAATTATTTCCTCCACATATCATTTGCGCCAAATTTGCGCTTTTCAACACACTTTCCTATCAACTCTGATTGTTTATTTTTATCTTTTATACTACTTTTTCTCGTCGACGATGCTCGCTACTTTGACGCCTTTGCCGGAAAATAACATAAAATCGATATAAAGTGCAAAGAGCCCAATCGGTGACATAAAAATGACTGTTTTTGGGGTCTGTGTAGGTATTTAAACGTGTTTTCTATTAGGTTGGCAACTTAATAATGACGCGTTTATGTAACAAATCATTTATTTCAAAAAAACACAAAAGAAGAGCTTTCAATTCGAAAGGTATTCTCCATTAGTATCTCCGAAAGGTATTCTCCAACTTCTGCGCAAATCCCGGATCCCATCCTCGAAGAACTTGGGAGTTTTTGAGGCGAAGTAGTCATTCACTGCTTTTATGACCTGAGCATGATCATCGAACTTTTCTCCCTCCAAAAGTGCTTCAGCGACCGAAACAAAAAGTAATCTGAAGGAGCCAGATCAGGTGAATAAGACGCGTGGGGCAAAACTTTCCAGCCAAGTTCCTCGATTTTCTTATAAGTGATCTTTGCAGTGTGAGGTTTTGCGTTGTCGTGTAAAAATCTGACTCTCTCCGGTTTGAGCCCCAATTTCTTCAAAGACTCGTTAACTCTCATTAATTGCTTCGAATAAAGATCAGCATCGACGGTTTGGCCAGGTTTCAGCACTTCATAATGCACCAATCCCTTGAAGTTCCACCAGCAACAGAGCATTATCTTCTTCCCATGGATATCAGGTTTGGGAGTGGTTTAAGGGGTCTGCCCAGCAGATAGCCATTGATTTTTGCGTTTAACGTTCTCGTAGTTGATCCACATTTCGTCAGAAGTCAAAACCCTGTGAAAAAAAGTCGTTTGATTTACATTTTTGTAGCAAAATTGAGGCGACATTTTGTTGCTTTGGGTCAGTTCCTGAGGAACCCATTTTCCAACTCGATTCTTTTCCCAAGTTTGTGTAAATAGTTTTCGATTGTCATATGGGATACTTCAAATATTTCTGCCAACTCACGAACGGTGAGTGTTGGGCAGTCTTCAATTAAGGCGAGCAAGTCATCGTCGACCACTTCTGGAGGATGTCCCTGGTGTGGCTCGTCTACGAGGCTTTCATCGCCGCCTTGGAATCTTTGAAACCATCGTTGACATTGCCGAATGTGCATACTTTCCTCCCCAAAAACAGTGATGATCGTGCGATGAGATTCAGCTGGTGATTTTCCTTGTTTAAAATCGTAGAACAATGAAGCTCGAATACGGAATTTTTTGTCCTCCATTTTTTGCCAAAAAGCAAATGCTGAAATTTGGAGCACTAAATGTTATTTATGTAGACATCTTTTACTTTGTATATATGCAAAAAAGAGGGAAGAAACGGCGCTTGAAATTACAAAAAACATGTTAAGTAGTGACGCGTCATTATTAAGTTGCCAACCTAATAATTGAAAACAGTTTTAATTAAAATTGTGAAGTAGTAAACTGAAAAAAAGTTGGTTAGAGGTTGGGAAAAATTGATTTGTTACAGTGATTTTGATAACTGATAATGAAAATTTGGCGCAAATGATACGTAGCGCAAATAATTTGGCGCTTTTGCTAGAACCTCAATTTTTGAGCATTCTACCTAGCACAAGTTTCAAATCGAAAAGTTTTTTGATTCATTAAACTGGTAAAGGTCAATAAATTGCCAGACCTGATCTTTAGAAGTTTTAGAAGTTATAGAAATATTAGAAATAAAACTCTTATCAGTTTGCCGTTTGTTGAAAATACTGCAAGATATTGTGGCGATTGAGAGCCATATTGCCGCTTCTTCTAAATCTGAATACTACTTGAAATCAATAAAGCGAGAAAAAACACACAAAAAATATCTGTTTCTGTAGTCTATTCGTCAAAATCATCTAATTTTTGTCAATCAAGTACAAAATCAATTAATTCTTGTGAGTGGTTCAAGTGTTTTTCAAAAATAAGCTTATTTGGCGCAAAAGATTTTGGCGCAAAAAGCACGGCGCTTTTGCTAGCATCTCATTTTCATTTTAGAAATCTCGTGTCAGCACAAAGCGATTGGAAATGGCCAAACGTTGATTGGTGGACAGAGGGTTAGTTTTTGCAGCAAAGATTTGAGAACTTACCAAAACTAACCAAAATTGCAGCTACCTGTGCTCAAAATACTGCTTGATTGCAATTTTAAGAGACACTTCTAACATTTAGACGGGACCAAACCCAGGAGACTGGAAATGGATTGACAATACCCCATGGGATTACACCAATTGGGTGCCTGTTGGCCCGAATAATGATGGCGGGCAGAGTTGTATACAAGTAAGTTCGGTAGTCAAAGTTAGCAATGTCGGCTTTATATCAATTTTCATTGTCAGAAGGATCTTGTACATTTCCAGGTTCTCAGCTCTCCCTTTGGCCTCAACGCCCCATGGTGGTATCAATACCAGAAATGGGATGATCTCCAGTGTACTTTCAGCTTTCAAACGGCAATCTGCAAACGGCCATACATCATTGGTGAGCCATAATAGTTAGCTGTTTAAAAATGAACCTTAGGAACTCCAACCACCAAAGCTACAACCAAGTCTGAAACAACTAAGGCTCCAATGTCAACAGTGCCATCAATTTATCCCGGGATGCCTTGTCAAGTCTGACTGATTATTTATCTAGACATTTAATAATCTTTCAGCAACAAGCTGGCGCTGCTAACTATCGAGCTGATCCAACTTCTTGTAACTACTTCTACCAGGTAATTTAGTCAAGCAGGGTTCCATTGGAGGCTTGGTTCTCAAATTTCAAATTGAAAACGAATAATGCATTTGAAATGGAAATATTGATGGATTTGGAATATTGAAATGGCAATATTGAAATATTGATTGGTTCTAGTGTGCTCCCGCTGGCTGGACCCGTATGCCTTGTGGTCCGGGTACTGTATGGAATCCGAATCTCACTGTTTGTGATTGGCCCTACAATGTCCCTGGCTGCGAAAATAGCGGATAGAACTTGCTTTAAAACTTCAAGAGTTTGTCAATTTGTACTTCAAAAATCAAAATAGCTTTGTAAAAACTTTCATGTTTCAAACCGTAACTTGTTGGCTCAATAAAATGTTTGACTTTTCTTATGTTTTTCACTCTTGAACATTTCCTTGCCTTCCTTTTGACTCTTGAACATTTTCTTTACCGTCTTGGTGTCGTTCTTTCAGATAAAGATCATTGAATGCAAGTTTTATTAAATACATAGTATTCACATCTCTTATGTTTATGGATGGAAAGCTTATCTTCTTCCAGGGCGTCCTCCTTGTCCGCCCATCTGACCTTGTCCGCCCATCTGACCTTGTCCGCCCATCTGACCTTGTCCGCCCATCTGACCTTGTCCGCCCATCTGGCCTTGTCCGCCCATCTGACCTTGTCCGCCCATCTGTCCACCACGTTGTCCGCCCATTTGTCCGCCCTGTTGTCCACCCATTTGGCCTCCTTGTTGTCCTCCCATCTGTCCACCTTGTTGGCCTCCCATCTGACCGCCCTGTTGTCCTCCAAATCCTCCTTGTTGACCAGTTCGCTGTCCTCCTTGTTGTCCTCCCATCTGTCCTCCCATCTGTCCTCCTTGCTGTCCTCCCATTTGGCCTCCTTGTTGTCCTCCCATTTGGCCACCTTGCTGACCGCCTCCTCGGCCACCACCTCCAGGTCCTTGAGCCACAACCCTGAAATTGATATATCTTTCCAACACCGCAAGAGTTCATAAGGTAATTGCTCAATGACTTGAAAGCCTGAACTCATTTGATGCCTTGATTCAACTAGCTCTAATACCGAACAGATCCTAGTCTGATGTTACCCTATAAGAATTACCTTCTGTAGGTTTTTCTTTTAATGTTTAAGGCCTAGTCTTATGGGTTTATCTAGAAACTTGTCTAGTTGACTTGAATCTGATTCTAAACTCGAAAAGACTTACATGACGGCCAAGCCGAGAGCGATCAAGCAGAGAGTTTTCATCTTGACTAGAGAAGATTCAAATGAGAGCCGAATGATTTCTCCAACTTCCCCACCGATATTTATACTCAAACTATTCGTCTAAAATTTGTTTCCTTGCTGTCCCCCGCCCAATTGACCACTTTCAGTTCTATTTGAACAACGCCATTCACATGTTACTTCTTTTTACCAGAGTTCAAGTGATTTGTTTGCTTTTCTCCCAATTTCACAGGTTAATTTCTTTCACAGTTCATGTGGTCAAATATGTAGTTTTTTAGAAAAGACGAGTTAACTTTTTCTCTTCTAATGATTTCCAAACTTCTTCGAATTCTTTGGTCTGGCGATGGTCTTGTGATTACGTAGGAAGCGATTTTTTGACTAATTTAGTCAAAAAGGCACAGAAAAGCTGCTTAAATTGATTAAGACTATCGGTTTTATAAAAACAATATAAAATGTATAAGGTAAAGGTATAGTTAGTACTATGCCCAAAAATATTCCCGTTAGCCGCACTCAGGACGAATTGGATGAATTGCATTCAGACTAGACATAATTCTTGATCAAGTAAAGTAGCTAACTTTAGGTTTTAACTGTGTATGGACAAGTTAAAACCAGAGAAGTTAAAGTTAACGAGTTATAAGGCTTGTTTCTTGTTCGAAATACGAGTAGAGTACATATTACTTCTATTACTTTTTGAAATACTTCAATATTTATGGGAACTTCTGAGTTTGAAGGTTGTTTAGCGCTTCCAAAATCAGTTTCTGCAAAAAATCATTGAAGAAAGCACTGAATTACAAAGTTAGGACAAACATGGCATCCACACTTTTACTGTTTACTCAATTTGTTATGCGAAAAACTGATTTATTGGAACACGGTTACTAAATTACAGGGATCAGACCTAGTTATTCTTCTTTAATAATAAGAAATTCTTCACTATTTACCAGTTTTCAAATTTATGGGACATTAAAAATGTTCGAAACATATTTCAATTTTGATTCTTTCAAGAAACCTTAACGTAAGTTTGTGACAAACTCAATTCATTCAATTTCCCTACCACAGTGAGCACTGTGAGCACTTTCCACGGGAATTTCTAAACAAACACAACGTGAAAGGCAATAATTTTGAAAAAGAATGACTTAAACTTCTTAAAATCTATGTTTTTGATATGTTTATTTCTTTTTAAATATTAGATTTGTATAAAACGAGCTTGAAACCTCGTGATCTATTGGTTTCCATAAATATTGACCTTGTATTCACAGAAGAACTCGATTTTTAAACTGTGAGAAAACTGTTGGCTGAATTGTTAGCTCTTTTCTGTGTCTGAGTCAAAAACGGTCAATTGAATATAATGTTTTCATTTTAATACTGATTGTATACTGCTTATTGTAAGCATTAATTTGAAAATCCTTCCAAGTTTTTCTGTATCCGCAAATACTACGTTTTACTTGATCCCGGAAAACCATTTTCTCGCATACTTGTGGCCAAATATTGTAGTTCAAACATTGAAGAGTAAAAAAATTTTTGAGGAGTTCATTGGGTTTACTCCTTTTCAGGTCCAGCCGGGCAATTCATTGGCATTCATTTGACGTCTCTCGAGAAAGATCAAATGTAAACACCAAATCGCCCCCGCAGTTAGCAATGCACTTAACAAAGTTACAAAAACAGTTCAAACTAGACTCCAATCGCACGAGAAAGCTTACAATAATTAGACGGATGAGGCTTTAGCCAAGCCAGTCTTATATTAGGTTGGAAAGATCAAAGTGATGATTTTTTTCTTCTCTTATCAGTATTCGCCAGCGCCAAAAGCATTCGGATAAAAAGGAGTTTGTTTACGCCACTCTTCAACTATTAATTACTAAAAAATCCAAATGGAATATTGGTATTTTCTGTTTTATTTTTGTCTTTTTTTGAAGGCATCCGATACTCGACCGAAAGGCTATCTTCGGCATGTCCTTTTGTCTCACTTCAAAGAAAATTCCACTAACATCCGTGCTTATGGGGCATTAATAATGTTTATGGGCAAGGTTCACTTAGTCTAACAACCGCTCACAGATGGTTCCATCGTTTCGAGAAAGGCGACTTTTCCCTAGATGAAGAGGCGAGCGGTGGGAGCGTGAATGACTTCAATGAAACAGCTCTAACTGAGCTCGATCGACAACAAACAATCAACCAGTGCTCTGGGAGAACAACTAAAGGCCTCTCATACCGATCTCCATTCAATGGGATTTGTTTCGAAATTTGGCGTGTGGGTTCCCCATGTGCTCACATATGTGATGAGATTTCAGCGCCACACAGTTTCTGCCGCCCTACTCTCCCGGTACAACAGATATTCCTTTCTTCCACACGTGATTACTTGTGATGAGAGGTGGATACTTTTTGTCAACTATCGGAGACACAAGGAGTTGATCGGTCCCGGCGAGCAACCAAGCCTGAACCCAAGCCAGAATTTCACCAGAAGAAGAATATGTTGGGCATTTGGTGGGATCTGAGTGGAGCAGTTTATTGAAAGTTGCTACCTGAACTTGCTACCGACTATCACAGCTACCCTGTACTCAGAACAGCTGGATCATGTCGTTGAACAAATCACAAAAAATCGGCCAAATCATGGAAAGGTCCTTCTCTTGCAGGACAATGCAAAACCTCATGTTGCAAATTTGACTCAACAAAAATTGAAGGAGATGGGCTGGGAAGTTCTCCCTCATCCACCATATATGAGCTTGCTTCCTCTGATTTTCATCTTTTCCGGAAGCTGGCTGCAGAACTCGATGGGGAGCACATCGAGGTCGAAAATTGGCTACGCGACTTCTTTGACACGCAGCCCAAGAATTTCTGGAAAAAGGGGCTCCCTTGCTCTACCCAATAAATGGTAACGAATAATAGATAATAATGGCGATTATCTTGAATAAATGTGTGGTTTGGTTTTTTAGAAAAATACAGTGCAAAAAATTCTCACTCTAACCGTTCCAACCTAATAGTATACTGACATTGCAGACACATTGCAGACAATTCCTTACCACAGCATTGGAGTTAGATATCTCAGGCTGAACTGCTTTAATCCAACAAGTTTCATTGAGCAATTGCAATTCATTTGCACGTTTTGTGCTTTCATTTGTGTATTTCACTCAAAAATGACTTCTCGAGATGTTGTGAAGAGAAGAGAATCTCTGCAAACATCTCTGCCATCACCGTTCAAATAGAACTTACAAAAAAGCATGTGTTCTTGGTTTCTGTATTTAAAAAGTTCAAAGAAAAGTGACGAGTAGCTGGGTTTATGTTCTTAAAAGAAAAAGTACGGCGCAGAAAGCAGAAAACTGGGCTTGCGTCAGTGAAACAAATGATTTCATAGTAACAAAACTGAAACTGCATCCGAGAGTATGTCAATTTCTAATGGCTACGAAAAAATTGATTTTCGGTTGAACTTTTTAACAGAATTAGCAGTAAATGGCTTTAACAAAGTGACTTTTTGAAAAGCGAATAGAAAAAAGTGAATTTAAAAGGAATACTGTCTTTGTTTCTCACTTATTATAATAATCAACAACTCAACGTTTGTAAACTAATCCATAAGACTTTAAACTTCCAAGAATCATGGATTATTTTTAAAACCAAACAAAAAAGAGTCGTTCTTTTTACAAATCGGACTCGATTGTTTATACTCAGCGCTTTTTGGAGTTTGGCTATTCTCTATGAAAGCAAATCGATTATAATACAAAATTTATTTCAAAATTTTGATCAAACATTCATAGCGATGATGTTTTTGCTACCACTTTTTCTGCTGTATTTGGAAATAAATGGTTTGTCTAGAAATACTTACACAAAATAAGGAAATAAGGTTTACAACCTTCAAATTCAAATGTAAATTTAAACCTTCAGGACAGTGCTTTGATAAAAAACAATTGAAAACAATGAATGAAACCGATGATGAACCGATAATTCTCAAGAATCCTGGGTACCCGGAAAAACACCGGGAGAGCATTGATTGCGATTGGATTGTGAGATTATTGAGCCTTTCTCAAGCTACATTGCTGAAGCTACATTTACAGATATATCACCAAACAATTGCAGATTAAACCACCGCCAAATCATCAATTGACGCTCAGTATCGACAATCTTCAGCTGCATATTAGTCGTTCCAGCAGCTACATGCACGTCAACGAAATTTTGTCAGTAAACGGAAGTGAAGTGGAAATCCCAATAGCACGGTGAGATTTTATTTTAAAAAATGCATTTATTCGCACGAATAATGTGGTACAAACAATACGCAAGCACGATTCCTAAGTCCTAAATGTAGGAAAGAATAAAGCCTATATCTATGGGGGAAAAAGAACCAATAATCTAGCCAGCGGGATTGAACCCGTGACCTCCCGACTAACAAGGGAATGGTCAGAAGTGATCGTGAGATTTCGGGACGAAAATTAAGTACTAACACAAGTCGAGTACGGCGAGTACGATAGCGCTTTTAGTTTTTGCGAATGGGCAATGTTTTTCGAGAAAAATCTGTTGCAAATTTAGGCTTTCTACTCGGAAAACAGAGGCTAGAGGTTAAAAGAGGCTGTTTTAAAAAGAATTGAGATGGGATAGTGGATAGTGAGGTGAGCTATGAAACTAACGTCTTCTTTTGCTCACGGGCTCGATCCCGCTTCGTGATTTTTTTGCTGTTTTGTTTTAAACTTTTAGAATTTTTTTTTGTGTAAATTAATTTTGTTTTAACCCAAAATTCACTGTTAAAATTGCAAATTCTTAAGATTCGATTTTTTCAGATGTTTGAAAATTATCAAAAAGATATAAATCGCAAAACTGAAATAGCCCACTTTTTCTCATCAGTTTGTTCTTAATTCGACTATATTCGACTATTCTGAAATAGCCCACTACACCATCTCACTTCTTTTTGCAAAGGCGAGAAGCTTTTTTAACCCCTAGTTTTCGTTTTCCGAGTGATGCCTAAATTTGCAATGCGTTTTTCTCAAAAACCATTGCCCGTTCTCGCCGTACTCGACTTTTGTTTGCACCTCTTCGTCTCACGATCACTTCTGACCATTTCCTTGTAAGATACAGGGCTCTTAGCCAGTTAGCGATGACGGTAATTGCCGGATTTTATCCAAAATATGTTAACAGCCTCATGAAAACTTTAGAACGGACCGTGATGATGAACATGGCGAACTTTTTCTTGGACAAGCTTTCAGGATTCGCTTACTCGTCGATCCACACCACCATGGTCTAGCATCACAAAGTGTCAAATTTCATATAACGATTCGCAAAGTTAAAGGTTCGAT